AGAGGGAGAGGGAGAGAGAGGGAGAGGGAGAGGGAAAGGGGGAGAGGGAGAGGGAGAGAGAGAGAGAGAGAGAGAGAGAGAGAGAGAGGGAGAGGGAGAGAGAGGGAGAGGGAAAGAGGGAAAGGGGGAGAGGGAGAGAGGGAGAGAGAGAGAGAGAGAGAGAGAGAGAGAGAGAGAGAGAGAGGAGAGAGAGAGAGAGAGAGAGAGAGAGAGAGAGAGAGAGAGAGAGAGAAACAGGGAGAGAGAGATCCACAACAAAAGCACAGACATCCCTCTCCCCTCATACTCAGTGACTCGTCTCATTATTCAATTTGCCCGAGCAAAATCTAGCAGCCAACAGAGGTCAAGGAAAAAAAGATAAATAATAATCACAATTAGAAATAAAAATAACACGGTAAAAAAACAACAACTAGACTAGATGTAGATCGCCTGCAGTGCTCCAAAATGTGAAGAAATTGTGCCATTTGAACCAGTTAGGGTTGCAAAGGAACAGAAGAACCTGTGTGAATACAGGTTTTGTCTGCCTTCCTTTCAGTGGGTGAGACAGTTACTGTGTAGGCGGGGGAGGAAGACGGAGGGAGGGAGGGAGAAAGGGAGACAGGGAGGGAGGGAGGGAGGGAGAAGGAAGAAGGAGGGAGGAAGGAAAGATCAGGGAGGGAGGAAGGAAAGAAGAGGGGGAGGGAGGAAGGAGGAGAAAGTGAGACAGGGAGGGAGGGAGGAAGGAAAAGGGAGGGAGGAGAGAGAGAAAGGGAGACAGGGAGGACGGAAAGAGGTGAGATGGAGAGAGAGAGAAAGAGAGACAATGAGGGAGGGAGGAAGGGAAGGGAGAGAAAAAAGGGAAAGAAGAAAGAGGGACGCGAGAGGTTGAGAAAGAAGAGGGAATGGAAAGAGATAAAGAGAGGAAAGGGTAGACATGGAAGTGTAAGAACAGGAATGAAAAGAGGGGAAGGAAGGAGAATGAAAAAAAAGGTAGAGAGTAGGAAAGAAAGGAAGAATGGAAGATAAGAAGGAAGGAGGAGACAAGGAGAGAGAAATATAAGAGGAAAGGGAGGAAATGAAAGGGGGAGGGGGAGATTAGAAGAAAGAGGAATTAGAAAGGAAAGCCTGAAGATGATTAACAAACGGAGTTGGGGTTCGACAGGAAGAGAAAAGGCAGAAGGAAAATGTAAAAGATAAACAAGGAAACAAACAAAACTGCAGGAAAATCAAAACAGCAAGTGAATACAAAAGACCTAGAATAGAAAACGCAAGTGATTAATGAAGAGAAGAAGAAAATATATCAGACGGAAAAAAAACAGAGAACTGAGAGAGTGACAAAAAACGCAGCGAAAAGACAGATAAAAACTAGAAAGACATGAGGCAATAATCCAGATAAAAAACAAAGGAGCAAGAACAAAGCAAGAACAACAAAAGCAACAAAACAAACAGGCAAGTGAAAAGAAAATAACACGTTTCGTCACCCAGCTGGAGGAAATGAACACGTGACTGGACGCCGGCGAAGGGGTGTTCAATTGTTCACCGGCCGAGAACAGGTGAACAGAATCACATACCATCTTACAGAACCTACCTATCTTTTATCCGATCAGAAAATTGTCCCGTGTCTGTTTTCAAGCCTTTATTTAACACCGTGAAGAGCGTCGGTCTATTTCGTGTGTAATACCACGTGTTTATCGTAATTCCATGTATTGTTCAGTCTCTGTGTGTTATTGAAGTTTGCGTAACACGTAACGTATTGTAAGGGGCCAAACATGTACTTGTATATTGTTCAGCTGAGAAACCGGGTCCTCGCGCTATCAACGTGATGATCGAACACAAATATGACAGAAGTATTGCTATGTAGGCGTAAGACGTGAGTGGTGTCTTCCGTCTTTATCTTTATCTTTATCTTTTTCGCTCTCTCTCTCCTTTCTTCTTTGTTTCGTGGCGTTAAGAACAAAAGGTGAAAGGAAAAAGTAAATCGGATGAGTACAATGTTTGAAAATAATAATGATGATAATGATCACAACAACAAAAACAACAACGACAACAACAGCAGCAACAAAACAACAGCAACAACAACAACAATAATAATAATAATAATAATAATAATAATAATAATAATAATAATGATAATAATAATAATAACAATAATAATAATAATAATAATAATAATAATAATAATAATAATAATAATAACAATAATAATAATAATAATAATAATAATAATAATAATAATAATAATAATAATAATAATAATAATAATAATAATAATAATAATAATAATAATAACAATAGTGACAATAATGATAATAAAAATAATGAAAATATCTTTCCTGGAGCGGGAAGGGCAAATTCTCCGGCTACGTCCTTCGCTGAGTCAAGTAAGCATTGCGTTGGAAACACTTGGGTTATGGCTCATTAGTTGCGAAAATCAAGAGAAATGTGTTTGTCGGAATTATCTCTGGCCGTAAAAGGGATTTCTTCTCTTCGGTTGATTGGCTGATATTTGCTTCTATGAAAATTGATTATTAATGCAGTAATGACGAGGAACAGCAATGATCATAATGATGAGGAAGAAGAAGAAGAAGAAGAAACATAAATAATATTAATAATAATAAGAAACAGAAAGAAGGAAAAATAGAAAGAAAAAGGAGATACAGAACGAAGAAGAAGATGAGGAAAAAGAATAAATAAGAATTACGATCATGACAGCTAGAACGACAACGAGCCTAAAAGGTATTGTCTGTCTTGAGCCGGTGAATTGATCCTTATTATGATTGCATTAACTGATCGATGATAATTAAAGTGATGGAAGACGGCGGTAGATATAATGATAATGGTCGTAAAAAAAATTAATGTGTTTTTCGGTTGATTAGCTGAATCCACATTCCGAATCGGGAAGTAATTAGTAGATAACGAAAGCTTTTTCTCTATGTTTAATGCACCCTGCTGCATGCATTCGATCAGATTATTTTGATCGAGTTTATTCACCGCTGAAATTTCATGCCTGGTGGGGGTAATCACAAAAAAAAGAATAGTTTAAGATTATTGAAAGATGGAATAAGTAAAAATAAATGAATAAAATGGATAAACGAATAAAAGAAAGGATATTTCTCGAGGGAGAAGTGTGTCGCCTTGCATAACACTTTGTAATTTCCTTTTTCCATTGAACACTACGCAAGCAAGATGCCTTCAAGAATCCCAGTGACAAAACAGGAAGGACAGACAAGTTTTAGATACATTCTTAACCTCAAAGTCAAATTTCCTAATTATATAGAAAGGATGAAAGATGGAGGATGACGAGGAGGAAAAGGGGGATGAGGGAGACGAGGTGGAGGAGGAGGAGAAGAAGGAGAAGAGGAAAGAAGAATAAGAAGAATAAGAAGAAGTTGATGAAAAAGAATAAGGGCGTTAACGAACAGTATTATGCAAAACCGTTGCATCTTTTGAGTTTAACTTCATTCCAGTTACATGATCCCAAAACAAGTTCATGATTAGAAAAAAAAACGCCCAAGACTGCACAAGAAATAAAAATAGCATCGACCGCGAACAGCATTACATAAAACAGTTCGATCTTTCGAGTTTAACTCCATGTATATGACTCCCCATCTTTTTTTTTTTCTTTCTTTTTTTTCTCCATCATCCAACCTTGCTTGACCTGTCCGAAGTGTTGCATCTTAACGGGATGGAGTTGCATTATTGCAGACGTGTTGCCGGCGATCTGCTGTCTCACTTAAAAAACCGGTAAACCCTTTTCTTTAGGCGTTCCTTTACGGTCATGGTCAAATACCGGACGAACGGCGGGGGTTTGTTTATACGTTCCTCTCTAAATAACTGGTTTTGCAATGTTCCTTAGGTTATTATTATTCTTTAGCATTATCTATTTTCTTCTTTACTGCTTCTTATTCTTTTTTTCCGTCTCTGATGAACATTTTATACGCAGAGAATTGTTTGTTTAAGTGCTCGATTTATCATCTCGTGACTACTTGGTCAGCGTTGATTTATAGTGAACATTGAGCTCATACATTATATATATATATATATATATATATATATATATATATATATATAGATAGATAGATAGATAGATAGATAGATAGATATATAGATAGATAGATAGATAGATAGATAGATAGATAGATAGATATATATATCTGTGTATGTGTGTGTGTGTGTATGTATGTATACTTATATGTATATATATATATATATATATATATATATATATATATATATATATATATATCATATATATACATTATACACACACACACACACACACATATATACATATACATATATATATATATATATATATATATATATATATATATATATATATATATATATATACATATATACATATATATATATATATATATATATATATATATATATATATATATATATATATACACGTATACATTCATATATACATGTATATATGTATGTATATACATTTGTATATATAAATGTATATATTATATATATGTATATATACATATATAGATATATACACACACACGTACACACACATATACATACACACACAAATTCATATTCATGATCGAATTCAAATATACTAAACTGTATCTATATCTACATTTATATCTTTACCTCTATCTTTAACTGTATTCTTCATATACCAATGTATTTGATTCATATTATATCTCTCTGTCATCATGTAATCGGAAATTGTAATGATTCTGATAAAGAGGGAGAATGCGAGGTCATGATCAACCAAAGGAAATGCCTGCGATAATAAAAGTACATGCAACCCTTTATCAAACTGTATTATCACTTAGCAATGCGGGTTATTTCTATATTCACGATCTCTTAACCAAATCATTCGGTAAAGATATTCGATTAACACATTCCTGGGATGAACACAGTATATAATATCAAGTGTAATTTATTGAATAAGTCGTTTAATAAACTACAGTTCACAATCTATCTCCATGGAAAATCATCTTTATAAGAGTGATCCCTTAATTAAAATGAAAAGTTCTCGAAGTTGAAACGGAGTTCAGAATGTACTCACCAAGAGAAGGGTCTTCATGCTGAGCGCGAAGGGAGCGAAGGAGTGAAGGGGTTGTGGCACCGTGGCACAGGTAGTGGGGGAAGGTGGGGGGGGGGGGGGAGAGAGGGGGTGAAGGATTTCTCACCCGAGTCGCCAGTACATATGGCACTTAATGGCACCCCTTCATCATCCGGCGTTCAAGGCTTCCTGTGTAGGTGTCACTTGTCACCATTGAAAAGTCAGTGTTCGCTCATGACAGTGTTTGGCGTCCTGTCCGCCACGCTGTCATATTTTTTTTTTCTTCTATTTTGGGTGATTCTCACCGACTCCTCTTTATTTTCAATCTTAATTCCAATTCTTCCTTTGCGAGCCCGAGTTCTTGGAGGGGGAAGTGGAAAGGGGGGAGGGGGTGCAGGAGGAGGAGGAACCTGTGGAAGAAACAAAAAACAAACATAAGAATAACAATCAAAGCAAAACAAAATTTCGAGCGCGTAGAGTACAATACAGGGAGTAGGGGGGGGTGGGGGTGCGGGAAGTACCACAGGAAATGACGTTTGTAAATGGTATTATCTGTTTGTTAAATGGTGACGTGTCGTGTTCGGTTCACAGGCGTTGATAAATGAAGTGTAATTGTGCCTACGTATGTGAAAAAGAGAGTACGTATTACATAAGTTCTTTTTTTTTTGTGTATTGTCTTATGTTGATGAATAGACAACTGTAAGAATAATTACCTGATTTTTTTTTCGTATTAGAAAATATTGATGCAATCAGTTATAACAACATATTAGTAAACCACATACTACTAAAATTATAAACATCACTTTTGCAAAGGGTTATGATAAGATAAATATATATATATATATATATATATATATATATATATATATATATATATATATATAATGCATTATTATCAAAATATCAAAACAAAAATCATTGAAATGCATACACTTCCAGAGATATGGACATAAATAGACAGACATTTTTTTCGCCCAAAACTTTTATTTTTCAATGTCAATCCAAGAACATTCTTTACCAAAATCCGGAAAAGGAATTCTCTGAGCTGATTACAGCGCAGTAAAACGACATTCCGCAGAACATATTACCGAGATAAAGATATCAGTCATCCCTCCTTAACTCTGACGAACAAGCAACAAAAAAGAAAAGAAAAGAAAAGAAAAAAAGGCAAGGAAGAAAGTAAGAAGAAAAAAACGGTTTGTTTACGATCGTCATTTGTTTTGTTTTCCAAGCGATGTATCCCTCCGCCTTCGGATCGTTCGAACTGTAACCTTTCCCACAGTTCATCTTGGAGATAAATGTCGTTTTTGATCATTAATTGCTATTTACTCCTTGTTATCTTGTTTGTCTGTTTTCTCGTTTCTTTATGTCTGTCTTTAATTGTCTGGTTGGTTGCTCGTTTATTTACTTTTTCTTCTTTTGTCTATTTCTCTCTCTCTCTCTCTCTCTCTCTCTCTCTCTCTCTCTCTCTCTCTCTCTCTCTCTCTCTCTCTCTCTCTCTCTCTCTCTCTCTCTCTCTCTCTTTCTCTCCCTCTCTCTCTCCCTCTCTCTCTCTCTCTCTCTCTCTCACTCTCTCACTCTCTCACTCTCTCTCTCACTCTCTCTCTCTCTCTCTCTCTCTCTCTCTCTCTCTCTCTCTCTCTCTCTCTCTCTCTCTCTCTCTCTCTCTCTCTCTCTCTCTCTCTCTCTCTCTCTCTCACTCACTCTCTTCCTCCCTCTCTCCCTCCCTCACACCCTCTCTGTCTGTCTGTCTGTCTGTCTGTCTGTCTCTCTCTCTCTCTCTCTCTCTCTCTCTCTCTCTCTCTCTCTCTCTCTCTCTCTCTCTCTCTCTCTCACACACACACACACACACGCACACACACACACACAAACGTACCCGCAGCCCAATTCTACGCACACACATCCTTATCTTAAGCACCCATAGACTACCATCTCACTCGCCCACAAAACCAAATCTTACATACCCTAATCTACCCACTGACCAAATATACTTTTTAATACTCGTAAATCCTCATTCTCTACTAAATATAGGAATTCAAAAATTGTTCCTTCAATTTTATCCTATATTTGTCCTTCTGAAGTGTCATTTCGTTGGGGGGGGGGGAGGAAATGCATGTTTATGACTGGCCTATGATCCTTTTTTTATTGTTCTGTTGTTTGTGACCAATATTTTGTGGTTGCTGTTATTTTCTTTATTCTTTGTTTATTTATCTATCTATATTTTTCATCTGTCGATTTGTCTATTATGTATTTATTGATCTATTTATCTATTATGTATTTATTGATCTATTTATCTATTTATGTATTCCCATTTTATCTCTATCTGTCTATACACTCTTTACTTTTCTTTTCCAATTCGATCGGTCTTGTTTTCTATGCTGTTGATGTTCTGATCTCAAAAATTTTATTTCGTATCATTTTGTTAAAATCCCAGTCCTTTCCACTTCGTCCTAATTCTTACACCAAAACCCCACTTTCTTCGCGACCACACGGAAACCCTAATCCTCCGTCACAAGATGCCCTCCAATCCCATAATCTCACCCACGACGATAACCCCCCAATCCTCCAGTCTTTTGTCATAATGTCAGCCCTCAAATGATCTAGTCTTTACCCACCACGATCGAAACCCTAAGTCCCCAATCCTCACTATGGCGGGCGCTCCCTAATCACCTAATTCTTACCTACCATGATAGTTTCTAATCTCCTATACCACGAGAACCCCCCCCCCCATCCCCAATCCCCCACAGTACAGGAGCCTTCAATACCTTAATCCTCTCCACCACGAAAAAGTTTAACGACGACATTGAAACCAATCCTGTTTAACTCGCCTAACCCTCCCACTCCCTCCCCTCCCCCTCCCCAGTCCTTCCGAATCATGAAAGCGGAAATGTAATCTTGCTCCTCCCGTTTTCCAATCCCCCCCCCCCTCTTTTCTGCTTTCCCCCCCTACCTCCCCCTCTGCCAAAAAGATCCTTCATTCCCCCCTCCTTCCTCATCCCCTTGCTATCTCTCTCCTCTTCCTTCTCTTCCTCCCCATCCCTCGCTGTCCTCCTCCTCCGTCCCACTTCTTCCTCGCCTCACTCCCCCTCCCGGCCACGCTTCCCCCTCCCTCCCGCCACCCTTCCCCCTCCCTCCCCTCCCTCCCCCTCCTCCTCAGACCCCCTCATCTCCCCTACATAGCGACGGGGTGTCATCCCTCATTATAACAGCATCCCTGAGGAACCATTACGTCATTATCCGTTAATTGGGACACCGAGGGACCACGGGAGTCTATTTCGAGCAGTGACACTTTTGCTGTTCCTTAAATGGGTCGGGTGGGGGGTGAGGGGTGGGGTTAGAGGGGAAGGGGGGGGGAGAAGGGAACGCCCCTCGATGCAAAAAGGGCCCCCTGCTTGTCTCCCGTTGAAAAAGCAGTCTGTTCTCCCCTTTCTGTCTCTTCTTTCTCTCAGTCTGCTTCTCTTTCTTTCTCATTCTTGCTTTCTTTCTCTTTTTTTCCGTCTCTGTTGCTCCTGTCTTTTTCTTTTTTTCTCTCTCTGTTTCTTCTTTTTTTCTTTTCCTTTCTGTTTCTAATTTCTTTCTCTTTTTATTTTTCTTACTTATTTATAATTTTCCCTCTCCTTTCTCTCCTTCTCTTTCTCTTGCCTTCACTCTCGCCCCTTGCTCCTTTTCTCTTTCATCCTCTTTATTCGTCTTTCTTCTTCTCTCTCCCTTGTTCTATCTCCCCTTTTCATGTCAAGAAAAATACAGTGTTTTAGTTTCTGGCCTTCTTCCCTACGTCTTATTCTTTTTCTCTCTCTTCCAGTTCCTCTTTTTTCTCTCTTTTAACCTTATTCTCTTTTCGCTTTTGGGGTTGATGTCTCCATATTTCTCTCGCCTGTTCGTGATTTTTTCCTTTTCTTATCGTCTTTCCTCTTTCTTCATTTCCATTTCTTACTATTTCCCTCTCCTTCTCCTCCCCTCCTTTCTTGTCTCCTTTCTTTCTTTCTCCTCCACTCCTCCTACCGTTTCTTTCCCTTCCTCCCTATCTTCCTCCTCCTTTCATCTCTCTCCCCATCCCTCCTTTCCTTAATCTTTCCATTTCTCCTCATCCTTTTACCTCCCTCTCTCTCTCTCTCTCTCTCTCTCTCTCTCTCTTCTCTCTCTCTCTCTCTCTCTCTCTCTCTCTCTCCCTCTCTCTCCTTCTCTTCTCACCCTCCTCTCTTCCCTCTCCTCCTTCCCTCCCTCTCTCCCTTTCTCTCTCGTCTTACCTTCCTCTCCCTCCCTCCTCGCTCCATCTCTGCCTCACTTATCCCCCTCCCTCCCTTCCTCCCTCCCTCCGTCCCACCCTCCCTCCCTCCCTTCCTCCGTCCCAACCTCCTTTCTTGGTTAGGTCAAAGGTCACCGTATCTGGCGGGTCTGGATATTCCCTAAAGACAGCGAGGGGGTGTGGTGCGCGTCAGGGCAGAGGGAATCTTATCTGCCCTTCTCTTCATGTTCAAGACACGTTTCATGTTCCCCTTTTTGGAAGATCATCCCTATTAACATCTTAGTTAACACGGAAGAGCAAGAGATTGAATTTTAAAAGAAAGAGAAGCTAAAGAATGAAAAAGAAAAGGCAATAAGGAAGTAAATTATTTTTTGGGGGGGAAGAAAAACATGAAGGAGAAAACACAAATGGGGAATAAAGAAGAAACGAAAGGCATTGATAAGAAATACAAAACAGAAGAAAAAAACAAGAAACATGATTAGAACTGAAAATATTTCTCAAAAAAAATAAGACATGACTATTCAGAGATATTTAAAAGTAAAAAAGGAAATCCCCTTCTTGTAAGTAAGTACATTTCTTTTTCTCTTCGTTCTCAGGGCATTCGTGTGCAGAAGGAATCGTGAGCGAATTACGGGGTTAGTGACATAAGGAAAGGTTGAACGCACAAAGGCGGCGGCGGAGAGGTGGAAACCAAAGCAAAATGTGACGTCAACCATAGGAATGCATTGCGGTATTACAGTAATAAGGCTGCCCGGTGGCGCTGAAGACATGGGCATAGATAGGTAAAGAGGTGTGTATATATATATATATATATATATATATATATATATATATATATATATATATATATATATATATATATATATATATCCAAGAGAGAGAGAGAGAGAGAGAGAGAGAGAGAGAGAGAGAGAGAGAGGGAGAGAGAGAGAGAGAGAGAGAGAGAGAGAGAGAGAGAGAGAGAGAGAGAGAGAGAGGGAGAGAGAGAGAGAGGGAGAGAGAGAGAGAGAGAGAGAGAGAGAGAGAGAGAGAGAGAGAGAGAGAGAGAGAGAGAGAGAGAGAGAGAGAGAGAGAGAGAGAGAGAGAGAAATAGCGAGAGAGAAAGAGAGAGAGAGAGAGAGAGAGAGAGAGAGAGAGAGAGAGAGAGAGAGAGAGAGAGAGAGA